TTCCTGGATCTTGCTCTGTAGCCCAGGCTGGCCTCGAACTCACAAAGATCCGCCTGCCTCTGGCTCCCAAGTGCTGGGATTAAAGGTGTGTGCCACCACTGCCCGGCGAAAAACCACGTCTAATCTGTATCTTTGAGGTGGGAAGATCCACCTTTAATCTGGGCCACACTCTCAGCTGGAAGCCTATATAAAGTACATGGAAGAAGGAAGCTTGCTCTCTTCGCCTGTTTGCTCTTGATAGCAAATCCATTCCTTCACTGGCATTACTTCGTCAGGATTCCAGCATGTACTGAAGACCAGCTGGGACATCCTACCTGGTGGACTAAACTTCGGGATTCCTGGACCTTCCTTTGGAGGACACTGCTGGATTAGCTGGACCACAGCCTGTAAGCCACTCTAATCAATCCCCTTTTGTTAAGACCAGTCCACGTGAGTCTATTTAATGGGTAATAGGGATTTATTAAGATATACAGAACCGAGGAAACAGCTGAAGTTGTCCTCTGTTGTGATCTGGAGTGAATCCACCTGGCAGTCTGAACACACCAGGAAGCAGGGCCCTCGTGACCCTTCTCCCTTTACTTTTTGGTGAGAGAGAGAGAGAGTGTGTGTGTGTGTGTGTGTGTGTGTGTGTGTGTAAGTGTAATTCATTCTATAAGTTCTGTTACTCAAGAGAACTCTAATACAGGCCTATAAGAAAATAGGCTGAAGGCCTAGAGAAATGGGTCAGTGGTTAAGAGCATTGGCTGCTCCTCCAGAGGACCTGGGTTCAGTTCCCAGCACCTACATGGCAGATCACAACTGTCATCTGTAATTCCAGTTCCAGGGGATCTGACACCCTCATACAGACATGCATGGCAGGTAAAACACCAATGCATGTGAAATAAAAAATAAATAAAAAATTAAAAAAAAAAAAAAAAAAGAAAAGAAAAACAGGCTGAGCAAACTATGAGAGGAACAAGCCAGTAAGCACTCCTCCATGGCCTCTGCATCAGTTCCTGTCTCCAAGCTCATGCCTTGAGTTCGTGTCCTGCCTTCCTGGGAAGAAGGATTACAAGCTGTAAAGTGAAATAAACCCTTTCCTCCACAAGTAGCTTTTTTTTTTTTTTTTTCTTTTTGGTTTTTTTGAGACAGGGTTTCTCTGTGTAGCTTTGGTGCCCTGTCTTGGAATTCACTTTGTAGACCAGGCTAGCCTTGAACTCACAGAGATCCACTTGCCTCTGCCTCCCACCGCTCAGCCACAAGAAGCTTTTGGTCATGGTGTTTTATCACAGCATGATGTCAGTACCGGGGGCTGACCACCAAGGACTGTGGTCTCGGTGGTCAGCTGTGGAGTGCAGCAGGCCTTAGCCTGGGAGACAGCCGTGTGTGCTGTGAAAGGCAGAGCTGGGAAGCGGATTGTGAGCGAATCCTAGACATTGAACAGACTTATTTACACTGTTGGGCTTGCATTTTGCTTTGTTCAAGATGTTAATGTGCCCTGATTCTTCCTTCTTGGTATAATATATTGTGGTATTTATATTAATATGAGCTGTTGGGGGTGAACAAGAAAGGAAAGGTTATAGGTTAATAAGTGGTAAGTTTGTGTGTCAAGTTGACAAGGGGTCAGTTGTGCCGATTGTTTTGTCAACTTGACACAAACCTAGGCAAATCTGGAAAAGGGGGTATCTTTTGTTGATGTTTTGTTTTGAAGACAGGGTCTTGCTATTTACCCATGGCTGGCCTGAAACTTACTATATAGACCGTGCTGGCTTTGAATTCACAGAGATCCACCGACCTCTGCCTCCAGGGTATTCTCTTGATTTAATGATTGATGTGGAAGGGCCCAGCCCCCTGTAGGTGGTGCTACCCTGGGCAAATGGTTCTGGATAGCATAAAAGCAGGCAAGCCATGGAGAGCAAACCAGTAGACAGCACTCCTCCATGGCTCCTGCATCAGTTTCCACCCCAAGGTTCCTGCCCTGACCTCCCTGGATGGTGTACAAACTGTAAGATGAAATAAACCTTTTCTTTCTTCCCCAAGTTGCCTTTGGTCATGGTATTTTTTTTTATCACAGCAGCAGAATCAATCAATCAATCTCTCTCTCTCTCTCTCTCTCTCTCTCTCTCTCTCTCTCTCTC